TCATATGGCTGCACAGGTGGAGGTCGGCTCCTTGTCAAGTGGAGCTCTCACTTGGCACCGAGCTGGACCCAATGGTCCTGCCTCCCATGGTTCGTCAAACAACGACGCGGACGGTACGGGGCGGTTGCTGTTCGAAAAGGGGCTCCCTCCTGTACGGCACGCTGATGGCACGCTCGTATTTCAAGAACGTTTTGTTTCTCAACAAAAATCGTGGTCGTCGTCGTCGTCGTCGTCGTCGTCGTTCAGGGTCAGCGGCACCAGCCGTAAGGCCTCTCCAATAAAAGACTGTCGGGAACGTGTGCTTACCATGTCGCGGCGGCGGCCCGGGCGAAACGTTCTGCCCTGCGAGCTGATCGCGTGTCAAGCTCTGGATGTCGACGCTTGTGGACTGGGACGTGGTTGGCGTGTCAGTCTGAAGCATTGTGGGCCATAGCCAGCGACACCACGCGCTACGCCAAAGTTCCTGGCCTGACTTGCAAGGGCTTGAAGGCAGCAGCCTTGGGACTGGCAAGGGAAGGTGTGTTGCAGCACCGTTGGTGTATATTGAGTTTACCCTGGCCCTCCAAATCCTCTCCGCCTCCTCCTTCTGCTCCTGCTCCCCCTTCATCCGAATACGTCCGACAGCCCTAGATCCTGGAACCTCGATCCCCAACCACCAGGCAGCTCGGCTTTGTCAAGACATGGCCACACTGACACCTCCAAGGATTCCATGGGGTTTGGTCTTTCGTCCCAGAGATTCGCCATGAGAGAAACATCGGGGATGGACAGAACCCCCCTCTAGTAAAACGAACGTGGTTTAGTGAAAACGACCTCGGGCCCAGACATGGCGGGCGCAAGCCTGGAAAATGACGGCCGCGGCGCCCTGTCGAGAACCGAAAACGGACAATTCGCTAATCGACGTGTCCAGGTGGTGGTTCCGTCCACCCCCGCATTACCAGCTCTTCATCCCGAGCCGGTCCTCGAAGGTCCTGCGGCGCGCAGAGGGCCCCAGAGGCCCGACAACGGCGAGACGCGCCCAGGAGCCCCTTCCGCCGGGGCCCGTTCCCTGCATGCGAGATCACTGTCTGTCGGCTTCGGGGTCCGAAGCCGGCATCCAGAGGCACATACACAGCCGTGACAAAAAATTCTTCAATTTGCTCTGATGAAGATTTCTCCCATCCCTCTCAAGATCCGTAACATGACATGATGCTGGGATCATTCGGCGGAGTAGTTTCCGATCCCGGAGACGTTCATAACTCTGTTACCCCAGAACGGGATCGGAAACAACGCCGCGCCAAACCATATAAATTACCGAGCGGGATGCGATTGCGCGCGGGGAGTAGTTTTACTAGAACTACTCCGAACTACTCCGCACGAGCGCGTCATTCCAAAAGGCAAATTGAAAGAAACTTTCGTCACGGCGATGTACTGAGGAACAGCGTCCTCACCGAACAGATCGCGGCGTCAGATGTTAAGCGTCCTGCTCCCTGCTCGGAGGCCGCGCTGCGGCCGAACGTCCTCGACGGCTCGGCGGCTCAGCACGCGAGCGCCCCGGGGAGGCCGCCCAGCGGGTGAAAAAAATCCAGGAGGGGCGGGGAGGACCACCTCCTCCGGCGTCGCTGCCTCTGCTGGTGACGTGGGCCCCAAGAATCCGGTAGAGGGAAACAAGTACTGAACACTCCCCCTCCCCCCAAACTCAATGTTGGCACGCGTGGGGGAGGCTGCGGTCGAAGTGCGCGTCATCAGGCCCACCGCCAACTTTGAACATTGGGGGGGAGAGGGAGGCGTTGACAGATGAATCTGGCATGAGTGTTCGCTCATTTGTTCCCAGGCCTGTCTCGACCACTTCCCCGCGGGGCGGGCCGTCTTCCTGAGTCGGCCTCTGATGCCCCCGGGGCCCGGCGAGTGCCCCCTCCAGCGCGGAAGACTGTGAGGTGTGACCTGGTGTGAAGCGAGAAGGGGTCTGGCGAGGAGGAGGTCTGAGGGGCCAGGAGAGCGAACCACGACGAAGTCAGAAGTCCACCCACACAGCTGTGCCCCTACGGCGAATATGTGCCGCGGCGCGTTCCTATAATTAGGGGCCTAGACTCTGAGACGGGACACTGGAAGTTACCGTGCCTTGGCCTGCCCTCACCAGGACGTCTGGAGAGGGGGAAGGGACAACATCCACCAGAAAACAAACATCGACGAAGCGGCAATCCATGCAACCACTAGGTCCAGAGGACTTCTGTGCAGAAGCCCCGCAGTGCGTCACGAGCCAGGAGACGATGGAGCGCAAGCGTACCGATGCAAGAACCAACACTACCAAACATCCGACGATTGTCTTTTCCAATCCGCGACCTCAAATGTCTCGACCCTTTCCACATGAAGAGTTGTTCGTCCCGGATCCGTTGATAATGATGGGCCTGTTTTCCACCACCACCACAACCATAAGTTTGGGGGGAGGGGGTCCTCCTCCTCCTCCTCCTCCTCCTCCACCGTTTTCTCCTCCTCCTCTTCGTCCTCCTCCTCCTCGTCGTCGTCCTCCTTCCCCCCTCCAACTTATGGTGGTGGTGGTGGTGGAAAGCAGGCCCATCAGATAATGACCCCAGGGCCCGTACGACACTGGCCCTGGAAGAAGCGGGCCCTGGAAGCCACAATCGAGGCAGAGCGCGGGGACTGGAGCAGTCAGCTCGATGGAGCTCTGGGCTCTGGCGAGGAGGGGGGAGAGGTGAAGTCGTAGGATTGGACCTCACGCCTCTTCAGAAAGGGAGGTGCGAGAGTCCCCAGCACGCCCAGGCCCAGAGCCGCAGCCGGGGACAGGAGTGCGCCAGGGGCCCCAGCGAATTGCCACCCCCATTCCACGACCTCCGCCGATCGTCGGCCAGGTGTGGGCGCGCCCAGGGCCAGCTGGGGAGCCTCGGCGGGCCCCGCGCTTCCCCCGCTCCCCACGGTAAAAGATTATCCCGGCAAAGCAACCTAACAGCGATTCCTAAGGCATCCTCGGCATCCTAGGAATCCACACGAATCCTTAGGAAACCTTAGGAATTCCTCTGCTCCCCACGGTAAATAAAAAAAGCTGGATAGACATACACGTTGGCAGGCCCGCGCGGATGTCCCGGATCTGCGCTGAACCACCCTGCCTGGCGCGTGGGGCACGCCAAGGGTGGCGCCTGAGGCGCTGCAAGGGGGGGGGCCTGGCGCAGATCGGAGACATCCGCGCGGAGCTCCGGAAGGTTCTGTTTGTGATGATTTCTCATTCTGCGAAGGAGGAGGGTGAGGATAGAGTCCTCCCAGATGGGGTCCGAGTAGATGGAGTCGGCGATGCATCAGCGACGTCGTCGATGCATCGCCGACGTCGGCGTGGAGAAACTCGGGCTCCACATCGAACCGCATTGCCAGTGCATCGGCGATGCGGCTCCTCCGAACCCACCCGCTCGGACCTAGAGAGGAGGAGGAGCAGGAGGAGGAGGACCAGGAGGAAGAGGTGGAGGCGCAGCTCGAGCTCGGCCCGCGGCCGGGTTTGGAGAACGACTCCGGCTTGTTCGAGAGATCGCAGAACGCCCGCGCGGTGGCGGCGCGGTCCGCGGCCGACACGCCCGTGGTGGTGCCCGGCAGGAAGTCCTGGGGCAGCGGGCGCAGATCGACTACACGTAAGAGTGACCCTTCGCCGAAGTGACCTCTGGTGCGGGCCCACCGGGGTCCCCCGGTCGCCTAACGCGAGGCAGTATTGGTGTCTTGTGCGCCTGTGTTTGGCTCCTCCGCGGCCCCCCAAAAGCCGCGCACCAAAGGTCACTCTTACCCAGGGTCACTCTTGCGTGTAGCCGAGCAGAGGGACACCTTCGGATCGCAGAGGGGGACGCACAAGGACATACAATACTACAGGTTGGGAGAGGTTCTCTCCGAACGACGTCACATCGTCCACTGCCGCATAGCAGCACAAATGACGTGAGCGATGGTTGCACCATGTGATACAATGGCTGGTACACTCTGCGCTTCGGATGTTCACACCCGCTTCGCCTGCTCCACTGTAATAGAGAAGTGCAGAATGCCGATCAGTAGTGTGGTCACAACACACCGTTCTTCTCCGCGTGTTTGCACCCGCGATATCTGTGAGGCACCAAGCAAATGGGGAGGACGTCTCAAGCAAAACCGCGCCGAAACCAAGCGAAACCAAGCAAATTGCGAGGACGTCTCATGCGAAACCGGGCCGACACCAGGAGAAACCATGGCGAAACCAGGCAAACTACGATAACGTCTCGGGCGAAACCGCGCCCGAACCATGCGAAACCAAACACATCGCAAGGACGTCTCGGGCGAAACCAGCCGAAACCAGGCGAGACCAGGGGCGAAACGAGGCAAATTGAGGGCAGGTCTCAGGAGGCTTGCGCAGCCCAACCGGGCGAAACCAGGGGCGAAAACAAGCAAACTGTTAGGACAACCTGTATGGAGTCTCCGAAACTAAGCCCCATCACTCTTCTTAATCAAGTTCCATCTACAGGGATGGATGACCCCAGGGCCCCCTCGCAGGCGCAAGCCCGTTTAGAATCTTATGGTGGGAGGCGTTGGGACCACGTGTTCGCTGAGGCGGATGGGATTGTGCGCAGAAGGTTCTATATTTGTCTTTCGGTTGCTTCTGGGGTCTTGGTATGGAGAAATTCGTCCGAGCCTGCCATACTATGTGTCCTCCTTGGACGCATATTTCCCGACCCGAACACGTAGTACAACCATCTCGTAGTAGATCGTGCCCCGAACGATATGGCCAGAACGCCCCCGCCACGGGGTTTCTACCATCAGATTTCTCGGCGCGCGCGTCGCCCCTGGGGGGGGCCACGAACACAACATATGTTGTATTAGTTTTTTTCCAGCGCACGATATTCGTTTTGTCTTTGTTCCCAGGGCGAGATGGCACCACGGATGAGGAACAAGACGCGTCTCAGATGCAACCTCTCTGTTGCACCATATCGAGCACCCCATGCCCCTGGACCCCTACCAACATATATGTTGCATTAGTATGTCGCCCCTGGGGGTGCGCGCGAAGGCGGATTGAATAGGAGGAGGAGGAGGAGGAGGAGGGGAGCGACAGGTTGTTTCTGTGTCCAACTGGGGGTTTCTGTGTCCCCGTTGGGTGTTTCTGTGTCCCGCGCCGCCCGGGGGTCCCCAGGATGAGTGTTTCTATGTCCGCTATGATGCCGTTCTAATGCGTTTCGTATTGTGCGACGATACCCATCATCTCGTGGAAATCAAACCGTTGTCCAATAGGGGAAACTTTTGCGTCCAGGATTTTGTGGACGCGGGACACTTTGGAGTTTCTGTGTCCGCCACCTTGTGCTCTTGTGGCATCGTGTGTATGTCATGCTTGTGGCTACTACTACTACTACTACTACTACTACTACTACTACTACTACTACTACTACTACTACTACTACTACTACTACTACTACGACTACGACTACGACTACGACTACTACTACTACTACTACTACTACTACTACTACTACTACTACTACTACTACTACTACTACTACTACTACTACTACTACTACTACTACTACTACTACTACTACTACTACTACTACTACTACTACTACTACTACTGAAGTCCAAGAGGCTCTCTCGGGAAGTCCAAGAGGCTCTCTCGGGAAGTCCAAGAGGCGCGCTCGGGAAGTCCAAGAGGAGCGCTCGGGAAGTCCAAGAGGCGCGCTGGGACACAGAAGCTCCCAACCCAGACCCACTCCAAGACACACATACACTGGGACACAGAAACACCCTATCTGGACACAGAAACACTCATCGAGGACACCGAAACCCCCATCTGGACACAGAAACACCTTTTGCCGAGGAGGAGGAGGAGGAGGAGGAGGAGGAGGAGGAGGAGGAGGAGGAGAGGCCAGGAACTTCTGCTCGGCGTGTCGCCGCGGCGGCCCCGGCGACGCGCTGCGCCCTTGCGAGCGAGCAGCGCGTCGCTTTTCGCTGCGCGGGGCGGAAGGCTCGGACAAAAGGCTCGGACAAAAGGCTCCGTGGTGGGGGCGACGGGGCAGAGGGTCGCCATCGGATCGCCTCCTCCTCCTCCTCCTCCTCCTCCTCCTCCTCCTCCTCCCCCTCCCCCTCCCCTCCCCCTCCCCCTCCCCTCCCCCTCCCCCTCCCACTGTTTGCCACAGCAAGAGGAGCCCAGTGCCGAGAGGTAAGCAGGAGGGGGAGGGAGGGGGGGGGGGGGGGCAGGAAGCTCACGTGAGACACAAAAAAGAGCTTCTGTCGGGAGAGGAGGTATTCCTTCTCCTCCTCCTCCTTTTCCTTCGTCTCGTAGTCTGACGCTTCCTAGTCATCAGGTGCTCTCCCTCGATACGATGCGTTGGTGCTGGCAAAGCTCTTAGAGTGGCAGCGGATCCAAGGCTCTATCGGATCGTACCACCTCGCGCGCGACTAAACCATCGACGTCGGCGAGACGTCCGAAAGGACGGCCAGGGCGTCCCTGGGGGAGGGGGTCTGGTTTACGGGGGGGGTCCGGGCAATACAAGTATACGTATAATTGTATATATGTGTATAGATTTGTATACACCTAAATCTGTTATATGCGTATACAATGTCATATCTGTGTATATATAAATATATAGATCCGGGAAACAAAATATGGCTATACATGTATATGTACACAAGATTGTACCAGCTCTCTTCGATTCGCCTTTAAAATATTGTTCGCATGGCGTCAGTGAGGTTCGCCGCGACCCGTAGTCGCCCTCACCGCGGTCCCATTCGGCAATAAGGCCCATGGGGCCCATGAGGCCCACAGGGCTGACACGACCCATTGGGTCCTTTGGGTTAGAGGGCTGAAAGGCTCTTTGCCGCCCCTGGAGCGTAAAAGATCGGGGCGGCAATGTGGAAGAGGGGTACTTCGGGCAGCGCGGCTCCTGGGAATCATGAGGTGCCCAGAGCCCGCAGCCGTACTTGAGTTCAGAGGGCCCCTCGGGCTGATGAGCTTATTGGGCGTGGAGGCGCGTAGGGCCCATGGCCTCACTGAAGCCCATGGCTCTTTGGCGCTGTAGACCGCGTCGGCTTATGGGGATTCCTCGGCGTATGAGACACATAGGGGTCAGTTTGCCACTGGGCCCAAAAGGGTGATAAGATTCACGACGGGTCGTCGGGGTCGTGGGGCTCATGGGGTCGTTGAGGTTCATGAAAATCATGGGGCTCGTAAGGCTCTCAGGGGTAGCGTGGGCCGTGGGGTCCGTGAGGCTGAAAGGGCTCTCAGGGCTCTTGAGCCTTTTGAGCCCCCTGAGCGGCAGAGGGCCCATTGGGCCCACAGGGCCAGCAGGGGTCATAGGGCTCGTAGGGCTCATAGGGCGCATAGAGCTGGTAGGACTCATAGGGCTCGTAGGGCTCATAAGCCGTATAAGTCTCCGAGGCCCGCAGGCAACATCGGGCCCACAGGGCTCATAGGGCTCGTAGGGCTCATGCGGCTCGCACGGCCCATGTAGCTCAAAAGGCTCGTGGGGTTCGGAAGAAGAGTTAGGCGCATGGGGCTCATAGAGCTCATAGGGGCCATGGGGTTTATCGGGCTCATAGTGGCCATTCGGGCTCATAGGGGCCATGGGGCTCGTAGGACTGAGGATGTCGATGTGCTCGCACGGTCCCACGGGGTCATAGGGCTCATGCGGTCTAATTCTGCCGCGCCCACTGGACATGTGGGAGCGAAGACGCCAGTGGGCTCATGGGGCACCATGAGGAACCATAGGGCTCGTAGGAATCATAGGGCCGATGGCGCTGATATAGCTGATAGGTTTTAGACAGATCATAGTTATCATAGGGCTCTTGTGGCCCATGGCTTTTGGGGGGCTCGCAGGGGTCAGCGGGGTCACAGGGCTCATAGAGGTAGTAGGGCTTTGGGGGCCATCGGGCTCGTAGGGCTCATGGGGATCACAGGGCTCATGAGGCTCGTAGGGCTCTTAGGCAAGAGGCCATGTTGGGCTCATAGGGCTCACGGGGCACCATGGGGCACCATACTTAAGGCTCATAGTGATCATAGGGCCGATAAGGGTGATCTGGCTGTTAAGGGTCATAGGGGTCATATGGCTCACGGGGCTCATAAAACTCTGAGGTGTTAGGGCTCAGAGGGCTCGTAGGGCTCATGGCCGATAGGGCTGATGTGGCTGATAGGGGTCATAGGGTTGTAGGGGTCATAGGGCTCATGGGGCTCACAGGGCTCTGAGGTATTAGGGCTCATAAATAAAGCTCATGTGGCTCATGGGGCTCATGTGGCTCGTAGGGCTGATGGGCTCACATGGCCAATAGAGGTCACAGGGATCGTGGGGCTCATGGGGCTCGTAGGGCTCACGCGGGTCGTAGTGCTCATTGAGCTCGTAGGGCTCATAAGGCTCGTGGGACTCATGCGGCTTATGGGGCTCACAGGAGTGACTGGGGTCATGGGGCTCGTGGGGCTCATGTGGCAGCATAGGGCACCATAGGGTTCATAAAGCTCACAGGGGACGCTTTCAGAAAGGGAGCAATTGTACCGCAGGGCTGCTTCGCATTACTCATGGTCATTCCGGCATACACCTCAAGAGCGCAGAGATGGTGACGCCCTGCATCACACGCAACTGCATAGGGATGTGGTCTCTTGGAGGTGTCTGCGGTGCGTCTTGGGGGCCTCTCGAAGCCTCTTGGGGGCTTCACGGGGGCTTCTGGGGACTTCTTGGCAACGTCCTGGAGGCCTCTGGGGGGGTCTTGGGGGCAGGATAAAAGCCACACCCTTGAGATTAAGGTCGAACGACCCTCTCTGGAGGCTTTGTGGGGCTCACTTGGGGCCCTGTTTGGAGTCTCTTTGGCTGTCTTGGGCGTGTTTGCGGCTGTCTTGGGGCTCTCTTGGGCTGTCTTTGGGGCCTTTGGAGCCGTCTTGGGAACTGTCCAGCGCCTTCTGGGTCGTTCTGGGCGTCGTGGAAGCCCAGAGCACGAATGTAGTGGAAATGCAATTTTTCCACCGGGATTTTGACGATTTTAATGTCCTGGGGCCGCATTGGGGGACCCCCGGGAGCGTTCTTGAGCCGTCTTGGGGGCCTCCAGGGCCGGCCTGAGACGAGCTTCAGTCGTTTGGGTGTTCCGCGGGGCCGTCTGGAACGCGATCCGCGGCGCGCTCGGGCGGCTTGGGATGGCCGGGAGGGGCCCCCCGAACCGAAAAACGGAATGTCTGCCCGATGGGACCGCCCAAGGCCGAATTTATGTACGGGGGGGGGTCACCCGGGGCTTTCCGCTATAAGAATATTCGAAGAGGTATATAGACACACACACATACATACATACATACATACATACATACATACATACATACATACATACATACAGACAGACAGACAGACAGACAGACAGACAGACAGACAGACAGACAGACAGACAGACAGACAGACAGACAGACAGACAGACAGACAGACATACAGATGCACATCTAGATACACATGTATATGTATACACATCAGTTCTTGCATCCCTGTGGTGCACATGGGGTCTGCGCCGCAGCACCAACTTTCTACTGCAACATCCCAGTAACGCTCAACAGCAAGGTCATGAAAGCGGGACAATCAGCCCAAACATCTGAGACTTCGGAGAGTCCGTCAGGGTATGGCGTCGGCTATACTGTCGGTTCTGGTGCGGGAACTCGTGTGGGATTTACGGAAGGTGCCACGACATCGCATGTCCTAGACGAGATGGCGCTCCAACAATTCCCCAGCCCGTCCGGGCTGTAGTGGCAGCGCGAGGAGAGCTCGCACTCCTCGACGGACACGGCGCCGTTCTTACAGTACGCCTCGCCAGTGGGGCCGTCTGAAGGCGTCGCAGAGCACGTTTCGCGGCACACGTGTCGACGTCAGCACAATAGCCCAATGCAGCCGCAACGCTGCACTCGGTAGCGTCATGGACTGCCTGAGTGCAGCCGCAACGCTGCACTCAGGCAGTCCATCAGCGCTTCGGCACACGATGAGCAGCACAGTTCGGACACCTCGTCGGCAGAACACACGCCAGGAGCATCCCGACAACCAGTCATCCAAGAAGCATTCTTCAGGTTGGCGAGAGCAGCGAGCAGGGAATCATCGTCTTCGCATACATCCTGCGTGGTATTAGTGCACGTGGAAGGATAATCGCTGGACGCCAAGACTTGTCGCACGAGGCTTTCATTAAGTAGTATGGACGTACCCGATACTTGATGATCAGATTCGGAACTTGAGCACGTCTTTGATGTGCACTCCAGATTTCGTAATAAAGGGAGGGGGGTCTCATTTCGGGGGGGGTCTCTTCCAGGCTATCTTGGAGGGCCTGGGGTGGTCTGGGGACGATGTTTTGGAGGGTTCTCCCACGAGGGGGGGTCTGAAATGGCTTGTCTTGGAGGGTCCAGACCCCCTCCCTTTTATTACGAAATCTGGAGTACCAAGCCCATGGCGTTGTCCCCCATGCAACGATAGAGCCTGTGCATTTCTCACGATCAAACTCATTGAAAGTTGCTCGGTCGCTGGGGCAGGTCAAATCAAAACTACCCACCCAAGATGTGCTCGCCAGTGACATCTGTGTAGACGTAGCAGTCCAGCGAGCCTGTGATCTCCTTGAAAGAATAGTTGTTTGAAGGGCTGCCAGAGCATTCTGAATCGAGGTACTTCTCCTCGAAATACACATTCATCGAAGGCGCCACGTCATAGCATGTCCTAGACGAGATGGCGCTCCTACAATTCCCCAGCCCAGTCAGTTTGTAGTGGCAGCACGAGGGGCGCTCGCACTCCTCGGCGGACACGGCGCCATTCTCGCAGTACGCCTCTCCGTTGACGTTGGCGCCGGCTAGCGTAAAAGCGCGTAAAACAGTGACGGATGAGAGAACGGTCGCCGACGACATCGCAGCCATGTCACCGTGTTGGATTCAAAGTGGGCTGTCAGTTGTAACACTTGGATCCCCCACGTGATGAACAGCACGCAGCGCGAAACACCAGCACTTGAGCTAAAATGGCTTGAGCCAAAATGGCTAGCTCTGCCTTGCAATCAATGCTCTGGTGGCTGAGGCTGCGGTACAGATTCGCAAGCGCACCCGCCATGCATGCAATCTGCTTCTCCCCTGCTGCGATCGCGACGGCGCTCCGCCTCTCTCTGGTGAGTATACGCGTTCATTGCCTGCCAGTTTTAGCGCCAGAGTCTGGCTGACATCGGCGCGCTCCCCCGAAAGGCCGACCCCAGCATGCCGAGGAGTACGGAACACGCTGACATTCCCGCCATCGCAGTGGGCATGCCCGAGGGCACAGATTGTGATCTTGCCGATCATGGGGCGCTGGCCCTGGCCGTTGGCTCGATCCTGAGGCCCAGGGGGGCGGCGGACGAATGCGCCGTCCTGGGGAGGAGGCGAAGGGAGGGCCAAGACGAGTGCGGGACAGGGAGTTGTGAGGGGGGGAAGGGGGAGGGAGGAGGAGGTGAGGGGAGCAGGATGGACGAGGACGGGGGAGGACTGAAGGGGATGGGGGAGGGGGGGAATGAACCACAGGGATCGTGAAGAGAAGGAGGAGGAAGAGGAGGAGGAGGAGAGGGAGGGAGGGAGGGAGGGAGGGAGGGAGGGAGGGACGGAGGGAGGGAGGGAGGGAGGGAGAGAGGGAGGGAGGGAGGGAGGGAGGAGGTAGGAATGATGAGGACGAGGATGATGACGGACATCGCCTCGGAAAGATCAGGGGGGGATGCAAGGAAGAGGAGATGGAGGATAGAGGAAAACGCAGTGAGGAGTGTCGGAAACTGTGTCGCCCCCCCTCCCGCTGGGCGCCTCCCCCGTCCCCCCTCCCCCCCCGATGTTCCCCTCCTCCTCGTCCTTCCTCTCCCCTCCTCCCCCTCTCCTCGTCCTCTCCCTTCCCTCGCCCTCCCCCCCCCTGCCATTGCCCCTCTCCTGCGCACCTGCCCTCTCCCTCTGCCCCCGGACCTGCACGCTCGAGCCCGCCCTCCGCCTCCCCCCCCCCGCCGCTTCGGAGCAGCAGGGCGACATGGAGACCACTGGCGCCTCGGAGTCGGTCCCCGCACCCCCCCCCCGGGGCGCACCAGTTGTCCGAGCCGCTCCAGGCCGTGCCAGCGAAGCCCCCCCCCTCCTCCCCCCCCCCCCCCCGCAAAGAGGCCAACGACGACCGACGTCTCACCTCGCCCTCCTCTGGCCCCTCCTCCCTGGGCGGCCTCCCCCGGCAGCTGGTGGAGCGAGGAGCGAGGAGCGACGCCCCCCCCTCCTCCCCCCCCCTCCCCGCAAAGAGGCCAACGACGACCGATGCCTCACCTCGCCCTCCTCTGACCCATCCTCCCCGGGCGGCCTCCCCTGGCAGCTGGCGGGGCGATGGGGCGTCCGTGGACACGTAGAAGTTGGTCTCGTTCACGTCCGTGTTCTTGGAAGTGGCCGGGTGGAGGCCGAAGTGTTCCAGGCGGTCCTTCCGGGGTCGCCGCGAGGCGGCGGACCCTGCTGCTGCTGCTGCTGCTGCTGCTGCTGCCGCTGCTGCTGCTCGAGGATCAAGGGGCCCAAGGACACACACACACATACATACATATATATATGTATATATATATAAATACACACAAATAAAATAATGCCCCATATTATCCTATAGTTTCTGGGTTTTGTCTTCCCGCCCAATTCCAATGAGTTCTCATACTTTCTTGGGGATCGACGATCAATTGTGTCTGTGTTTTACTCCCTCCTGATCGGATCGAAAATCGGTGACCGAGATCCTCGGCTCGAGAGCTATTGGGGAACGCACCTGCGCCCTGTTTGGGCTTCTGAAGCGCCCTCGTCGCCACGGCCTGCTGCGGGGCGGCTCGCCCTGCTGCTGCCACGGATGGGGGGTTGAGGATCGGGGTCTTTGGGGGTGGATTTGCGCCTTGTGATCAACCGAAGCATGGGGGGCGCAGGATTAAAACACATGGTTCCTCTGTCTGGACCAATCGCGGGGGGGGGGGGGCACCCGCCAAATTGAAACACACGGAGGCGGCGCCGGTGATTAGCGCCGACGCCCGGCCGACTGCAGGGGGGCGACAGTCGCGACGCAGCCGGCGCCGCTCCAGCGGAGAGGGGCAGCAACGCCTCCGATATACCCTGCAAGACGTGTCTAAAAATAATACATGCGTTTAGGTGCGATCGCGCCCTGGTGCAGGCGAGAAACAAATCGTATCTAATTTTCTGAAACGACGACAATCTAGGTTTTATTGTTAGATGCGCGCCCCCAGCCTGCGCGGGAGCGCCGCTGTATCTAAACGTTATATCTGTCTAGTAAATTCAAAAAACGGTGCCGCATCTATTTTTGTTTAAAAACCATACCGGTTCGTCTCTATGTTACAAAGAATGGCAATGCCGCGCCGTATCTATTCGTAAACAATTCTATCAGAACGGATGCTGTTTGCTGTGCTCTCGGAGCGAACAAGATCCATGATATTGGTCGAAGCAATGAGTAACGGGATGGAGATAGTGGAAGCCGTAGCGATGAGGAAAGAGGAGACGAGCGACGACGACAAAAACGACGGGGAGTAGGATGGATAACAACGACGACACGAGATTTAGAAGAGAACTGGGTAAGAACATGGAACCGCAGGAGGGGGAGAGCAAAGAGAAGGAGGAGGAGGCGGAGGACGAGGCCGAGGACGAGAAAGTTGCGTCAAATCGAAAGTGAAGGGGGTGGTGCGGGGTGCGGGCGAGAAGGTTTTAGGAGGACTGGCGGGGAGGTTGACGACGACGATGCGTTGAGGCAGGAGGAGAGGGGACCAGGAGACGGACAAAAAACAAAAGAATAATCATACTTACGACGCGGAGGACGCGGACAATGACATGGCGCCGTATGTATTAGTATTTTTATGTTTGGTAGACATGAAGCGTATCTAACCATATCTAACCTACAGAAACTCGTATCTAAAATGACATCGCACCTAAGCGTATGAAGAAAACATACCACCCGTCTCTGAGAACGTAAGAAACCGTATCTACACGTATCTACTTCTCAAACATATATACTCGTGTGTATATATATATATATATATGCAAGGGAGCGCTGTACATCACGTGTGGTTCATGGGGGAATTTAGATGCCGTGCGGCCCTTCCGAATGCAGATTCCTATGGGGACATGAGCAGCCAAACTAGATGTTTAGATGCGTCTTCCAAGGTACCTGGGGGGGTTGGCCACAATGACTACAGACAAGACACAAAGAGGAGACGGGGGAAAAGTGCGCCTCGGCTGGCGGGCGGTGCCTATACGGATACAAAAAGAAGAGAGAGGGGGAGAACAGCGAAAGAGGGCAGGCAGAAAGAGCTCCTCCTTCTGCTTTAACCCCCCCCTCCACTACAACGTCCTATGACGACGGCAACGACGACAACGACGACGACGACGACGGCGACGGCCAGGGCGACGGCGGACGACGACGCACTGCGGATGATCAATAGGGGGGGGCGAGGGTGCTACGCATGCCCTCTGTAGTCGTCGACGACGACGACGAGGAGGACGAGGACGAGGACGAAAACGACGACGACGGACGACGACGGCGACGACGACGCACTGCGGATGCCGTAAGGGGGGAGGTGCTGCTCAGGCCCACTGTAGTCGACGACGACGACGACGACGGGGTGCTGCTCAGGCCCACTGAAGTCGACGACGACGACGGACGACGAAGACCAAAACGACGACGTCAACCAGGCGACGACGACGGCGACGACGACGCACTGCGGATGCCGCCCCATGAGAGGGGGGTGCTGCGTAGGCCCAGCCCGCTGTAGTCGACGACGACGACGACGACGAAGACGACGACGGCACGTCAGTGATCAGCCTGAGGGGGGAACACTTCGCCTCGGAAGTATTCGATCTCTAAAACACGTTCTAGACGAAGGGCAATTGTCTTGAGGCTGCCGCGCAGTGGGGTACACGATGCCCTCGACGGCGCCCGCGACGACCCCCTGGCGCGCGCGAGAAACAAATATGGTTTTTGCGCCCCGCAGGGTCTAGTCATCAGCCCGGGGGGGCTCCCGTTGTTAACCACAAGCTGACGTTTGGGCGCATTCGTCGCCACGGCCATATCCGACTCGAAAATACAATGCGAGGGCGCATCCGAGCACGTGTCTGGGGGTCGATCCTGAGGACCTGGAGCTGCATCGTCGTGGGAAGCTCACGGCGGAGCCTGTCCTCAAGTTTTGTACCTCTGGAGGCCCCAGCGGCCGCCGGCCGCCCCGCCCTGCCCCCAGCAGCCTCCCCGGGCCCCCAGCGCCTCGGCAGCATCGGGGGCGGCCCGTCCGTCTCTCGGCGGGGGCGAAGTCCACACGGAGCAAGTCCAGACGGAGTGCTCGGCCTCCGTGTGGACTTGCCCCGTCTGGACCTATAGCCCCTCCTTGGGATGCCGGGTGCTCCAAAAGACGGCTGTGGCGCGGGGGTCGCAGCGCTGGGAGGACCATCAGCGCCTGCGCCTGCGGGCATTCGGCCAGACGCTCTCCCAGGAGGCAGCCTTGGGCGCGCGCCGTCGTCACCGCCATCTTCGCCTGAGCCTGCTGGAGCTCGGCCAGCAGCTGTCCAGGGTGCACTCGGGGGCGCGCGTCGTCGTCGTCGACTCCTCGCCGTCACCTCCGTCACCTGGGCACCTTGGAGCTCGACCGGAGCACGCGTCGGCCTCCAATGATGCGCCCTGGTCGGGGCGCATCCTGGTCGGGGCGGGAGCCTCGGGGCCGACGGAGGCAGCGCCCGGCCTGCGCCCCCGCCGGGTGGCCGCCGACAGACTCGCTCTCCCACGGCGGTCGTGAATGAGTGGGGCCCTGGGACACGCAGAAACATAAACACAACTAACGGCAGGTTCGCGTCGTGTCGACCCCAGCGTTGGTTTCTGACACCGCGGGGATCGTTCAACCTTGAACGATCGGCCGTTTCCGAAACGTCGAAATCGTTCCACATCGAACGATTCTGGGTCGCCCGCGGCGTTCAAGGTTGAACGCCGCTGGCGGGGTCGCCGCCGGTCGACACGACACGAACCTACCGTAACGGGGTCCCCCATCGTTTCCGGTATTTTCTGGGCTCCTGTCTCTCCCCCTCCTGAGTCAGGAGGGGTCCGAAGAACATGTGACCTCGGCCGGAAGCCGCAGGCTTGAGACAGATTGGGCGTGGAACCTGGCAGGCCCTCAACGACTCACAGGCCACCGGATGGAGGACGTGGCGCAGTCAAGTCGTATAATTCAGGGTGCGCGGTAAGGACGCAGGGGCCTTGCCAAGGCCATGTTGGCGTTTTCGAACGGGGCTGGCCGCTTGGCTGGCGAAAGTCCCCAAGCACGGGCTGAAAGGGGGAAGGATGCATGGGCAGCCTTCGAAAGTTGCTCATGCTTGCGACGCGTCTTGACCGTAGAACTGAAGCCTCTTGTGGGAACCGAAAGGTAGCGATATCGCTACTCCCCCGACCTCTCCCGGGGTGCGCTCCGACCAGCATTTCGAAGCGAATCCAGCGGTGCGGATGGGGACGAGGGCCGCCCAGGAGGCCCCAAAAGGGGAACACGAGGGCAACGTAGCGGTGGTATGGGTACTTTCTCCTCCTCGGAGACCTGGGGCGGACAAGACCTCCTCTAGAAACGCACCCCTCGGTTTGGCGGCGAGCGAGGGGGGGAAGTGAGAAGGAGAAGGCCTTCTCAGAAGGCTCGGAAGTCCACCAGCCTTCTGAACAGTTTCCGAAGCCTTCCCCGAAAAACAGAAACAAAAACTTCTCAGAAGGCGAGAAGGCTTCTGAGAAGTCCCGCCGCCTTCAGAGGAGGCCTTCTCCTTCTCGTTTCCCCCCCTCGCTCGCCGCCGAACCTCTTCCTCCTCTGAGACCTGGGGCGGACACAACCTCCTCTAGAAAACAAACACTCTTTTTTGATCCGTGGGTCGAGAGCGCACCTCTTCCGGTCGAAGCTAAGCGGGCCGCGCGAAGCTCGAATTAACCAGAGATGGGGGAGGAGAAGGGGGGCGCAGCCTCAGAACGAGGCCGGGAGGAGGCAAAGCCTCGGGATCAGGCGGTCCTCTAGAAAAACACCCCTCGGTAAAGACGGGGGCCACCCCCCGCGGGCGCGGGCCCGGCAGACACGTCGGCGACCGCAGTCTCTCGGGAAGCCCCAAAGCGGGGGCCCCACGGGCGGGTTTGGTGATCGACCTGGCAGCCACACGGGGTAAAGGCGGATGCGACGTGGCCAGGCGTGCGGCGCACGCCTTCAGGAGGACGGGCCTGAAGAGGCCCTGGGACACACAAACAAATACACACAAATAAAATGATTCCCCATATTATTTGCGTATATTTTCTTAGTTTATGTCTCCCCCCCACTTCCCATAGTTTTGAATATTTTCTTGGGAATCCATGATTAATCCCCTCCTGAAGGCCTGGTGGAGCACGGTCGGGAACTTTTGCATCAGCGCGCCGCGGCGGCGGCCACGGGGACACGCTGTGCCATGCGAGCGGACAGCGTGCCGCCCCGCTCCGCGGGGCGGGGGGCTCGGGAAAGCTCGGGACGTTGACGCTGGGCGGCCGGAAAGTGGATAGCGTGTCGCACCGCGACACGCTCAGCCAACGATCCTGACCGTAGGGGTGCTAGGGAGGGGTGGGTCGAGGCTGAGCAGAGCGAGGTGCGAACATGGGGGGCGCAAGCACATCCTGTATTTACACATCGCTTCCAACTGTGACCGCAAATTCTTGCCGGCCAATGGATGAAGACTCAACATCGGGACCCTGCAGAGCACATGTGAAACAAATCGTCCGCTAAAAGCACATCCAGAAACATGTCATCGGCTGGATCCGTGCAGTCCTTCTCGGTCGATATGCATACGATCCCTGTCGAGTGGCGGATAATGAACGCCATCAGCTGAGGGGTCACGTTCTCGGCCGCGCACACCAAATCGCACTCGTCCTCGCGGTCGTCGCTGTCCATGACCTTGCACCCTTTCCCTCCCCTCCTGCTTCATTCCCAACGATCTTGTGGTGTTGGGTCCTCGTTTTGATCAGACGGTCCCCGCGTTCCTCCTCTCCTCCTCTTCCCCCTCCTCCTCCCTCCTCCCTCTTCCATGCGTTGCGCCCACCCAACACAACGATTCGTGGCCCCATAGGGAGCTCCACCGAAGCCCCCAATGGGACCGCCCGCGTGCGTCCGCCACCACCCAGCACCGCCCTTGCTCCCTGCGTTTCACCCACCCAGTACAACGCTTCGTGGCCCCATAGGGGACTCCACCGAAGGTCCCAGTGGGACCGCCCGCATGCGTCCGCCACCGCCCAACACGGCCCAGTCTCCCTGCGTTTCACCCACCCAGTACATCGCTTCGTGGCCCCATAAAGGAGGCCCCACCGACAGCCCTTGTTGCCTGCGTTTCGCCCACCCAATACAGCGCTTCGTGGCCCCACAGGGAGCTCGAGCGAAGGTCTCAACGGCGCCGCCCGCATGCGTCCGCCACCAACCAGCACAGCCCTTCCTCCCTGCGGTTCACCTCCCCCTCCCCAGGTACAGCGTTTCGTGGCCCCAAATGGAGCTCCACCGAAGGTCCCAGTGTCACCGCCCGCATGCGTCCGCCACCACCCAGTACAGCCATTGCTCCCTTCGTTTCACCCACCCAGTACAGCGTTTCGTGGCCCCACAGGTGGCTCCACCGAAGGTACCAGCGGCACCGCCCGCATGCGTCCGCGACCACCCAACACGGCCCTTGCGTTCTGCGTTTCGCCCACCCCGTACAGCGCTTCGTGGCCCCATACGAGGCTCCACCGAAGGTCCCAGTGGCACCGCCCGCACGCGTCCGCCACCACCCAGCACAGCCCTTGCTCCCTTCGTTTCACCCACCCAAAAACGCTTCGTGGCCCCATATGGGTCTCCACCGAAGGTCCCCGTGGCACCGCCCGCATGCGTCCGCCGCCACCCAGCTCAGCCCTTGCTCCCTGCGTTTCCTCACGTTGTGTGTCCCCACAGGTGGCTCCACCGAAAGTACCAGCGGCACCGCCCGCATGCGTCCGCGACCACCCAACACGGCCCTTGCGTTCTGCGTTTCGCCCACCCCGTACAACGTTTCGTGGCCCCATACGTGGCTCCACCGAAGGTCCCAGCGGCACCGCCCGCATGCGTCCGCGACCACCCAACACGGCCCTTGCGTTCTGCGTTTCGCCCACCCCGTACAGCGTTTCGTGGCCCCATACGAGGCTCCACCGAAGGTCCCAGTGGCACCGCCCGCACGCGTCCGCCACCACCCAGCACAGCCCTTGCTCCCTGCGTTTCCTCACGTTTTGTGTCCCCATGGGGGGCTCCACCGAAGGTCCCAATGGCACCGCCCGCATGCGTCCGCCACCACCCAGCACAGCCCTTGCTCCCTGCGTTTCACCCACCCAGTACAGCGTTTGCTCCACCGAAGGTCCCAGTGGCACCGCCCGCGTGAGTCCGCCACCACCCAGAACAGCCATTGTTCCCTGCGTTTCGCCCACCCAGTACAGCGCTTCGTGGCCCCATGGGGCGTTCCACCGAAGGTCCAAGTGGCACCGCCCGCATGCGTCCGCCACCACCCAGCACAGCCCTTGCTCCCTGCGTTTCGCCCACCCAGTACAGCGCTTCGTGGCCCCATGGGGTGCCCCACCGAAGGTCCCAGTGGCACCGCCCGCATGCGCCCGCCACCACCCAGCACAATTGCGTGATTCACAACTGCATATGGTTGGGTCCTTCGCCAGGCAAATTATTTGTTCTCGCGCCGCGCGCCTTGGACGGCCCCGCGCCGCGCCTTGAGCAGGGACCGACCGTCCCGGCATTCCTACAGTCCTACCACGACGTGCTCTTAGAACCCAAAAATGTCCTAAGAACAAAAACAATGTTCTTAAACCATAAACTGGAAGCGATAGAACAAGACAGACTTCGCCAGAAATGTTCTAAGAACATTTCGCGGGAACCACAAAAGGTTCTTAGAGCATTGCTTGGTAGGGCTACAGGCGAGCCAGGACGCTTCGCCACTGCTTGAGCGCCCCGCCCGGCCCCCCTCAGCCGAGCCCCAGGCGGCTCTCCCGCCGCCCGGCCCGCCTCGCCCACGCGGCTGCTGCTCAGCAGAGGTGGGGTTTCTCCTGCAGCCGGGGCAGCGCTGCCCGGGGCGGCGCAGGGCCTCCGCCAGCCGCGCGGAGCCCCCGTCGCCAACGCGGTTGTCGGCGAGGCAAAGGTGCTGCAGCCGGGACGCGGCGCCCGAGGCGAGCACGGCGGCCAGCTGCTGCGCCTCCTCGTCCCCCCCCTGCAGCGTTGCGTACGCCCGCCTCTCCGCGGCCTCGAAGCGCTGCGCGAACGCGGAGCGGCAGAGCTCGGCGACCCGGGGCCGATCGTCCCTGCCGTTGGCGAACCCCTTGCTCTGCAGCTGCGCGTCGGAGGCGTCGGGCAGGACGGGCGCCCGGCGCCCCGCCGCGCAGGTCGTCACCAGCGAGTCCGCATGGCACGGCGACCATACAGTAGTAGGTCTCCGCTCCGGTGGAGGCCGAGGTCCACGAGGCAGGCAACGTCGTTGGTCAACATCGCCCAGGAGGAGTCGCAAAAAAAGCAGCCACGGTTGAAGTACTGCTCCGTGTTGCCCGGCCGGGTGTACTTTGCAGCATCGTCGTAATCATCTGGAAACCGCGTCAGGATGAAGACGACAGTGGCGGGGTGGGAGTAGAAGCTCCCCAGGCTCCCCAATGCCTCCTTGAAGAGCGCATGCTCCAGCTCGAAGCGGCCGAGGGCATCGTCCTCAAAAGAATCTGAGCCTTCGAGCCGCTGGTAGGTGTGCTGCTGGGGAACGTCCTCGCGGTCCCTGGAGTTTTGATGGATGCAGCAGAAATCCATCAATACACTCTAGCGGCCTCTGAACGCGGACCCCTCATCGTTCGAAAGCAGCTGCAAGGCCTGGCTCACGATGCGCAAATTGTGCCCGCGTGGATCCGGGTGGTCCGCTTGCAGCCAGCAGTGTGATATGCAGGCGATGTGCAGATTCAAGTATGCAGACGTAACGGCCTTGACAGCGCTGTGGGGCATGAAGGCCGTCGGCGGCAACGCCTGGCGCGGCTCGAGGACGCCGCCAGAGCCCGCTCGCCCCACCATCCACTCCGCGTCTATCAGGACGACCGCTCCGCTGCCGAGCACGGGGTCGAGCTCCAGGCCGCCGCGTTCCTCCCACGATGCCTGCACAACCGTTGGCACAGGGACCTCCTCCAGCTCCGGCATGTGCGGGGGCAGTTGCGGCACCGCGGCCAGCAGGACGCCACGCAGCAACCCATCCCGATGGCTTTACGAACAGCCAGCTTGCAGAGGGCGGGGTCGCCAGCGACTTCCAAGTTGCAACCAACTGCAAAAGCTTGAGCCAAAATGGCCATGGACTCCTGCTTCATTCCCTTCCTCCCCAATCGCAGCCCTCCTCTCCTCCATCTCCCCTTTCCCCTCCTCCCCCGCATGCGCACTCTCCTTACCCTCCCCTCTTCCCACTCCCCTTCTCGACCTTCCCATTCCATTGTTTATTAATTCCTCTTGTTGGACTCTCCCTTTTCATCTTTTGCCCTTAACCTCTCCCCCCAACAATCCATCCCTCATCCTTTGGGAGCCACGAGGGGTTCAGGCAGAGGGGAGGGGGATATCCCCCTTCTCCCTTCTACTCCTCCCTTCATTATCCATATCCACCACACCTCCTCCATCTGCCTCCTCCACCTCTATGTCCTCCTCATCCTTAACACCACCACCATCACCACCACCAACACCATCATCACCACCACCACCATCACCATCATCACCACCACCACCATCACCATCATCATCATCATCATCACCACCACCACCACCACCATCATCATCATCATCATCATCATCATCAGCAGCAGCAGCAGCAGCAGCAGCAACACCAGCATACGCATCAACATCAACATCCTCATCCTCATCCTCATCCTCATCACCTCTTCATCCTCCATTTCCTCCTTCTCATCCTCTTCCTCTCGCGTATCCGGTTTCCTCTCCACGCTCCTCCTTTCAAGCCACATCGGCTCGAGGGCAGCGCCTGTCACGCCGGGCGCTCGGGTCGCGCCCGTACCCCCTCGTGGTGCGTGAGGGGCCCAGCGCGAGCTGAGCTACCGCTGTCGGGCGGCGGCGACGGTGGGCTCAGCCTCGAAGCGTCACTGTCTGACACTCGGGGGTGACTTAAGTGGGTGTAGCGTGCATGGCGACTCCAAAACTTCTGACATGAATTGAGTAATATGCTCCTCTTCTGGGCTCTCTCGGATGCAGACCCAGAGGGAGATTCCGTTCATCTCCCCAACGTGAAGGACAGCACGGTGGACCAAGCAATCTCGAACTCCAGCAGCGGTTGCGTTGGGCCAGGACCGCCGTTGCGCGCGTGGGAAGAAGGGAGGACAACACCTGGCAACAGCTTACTCCCCAAGCACAGCAATGTCCGCAAACAAGATCCAACTTCCACGTGTTCATCGCCACCGCAAGACGCAACATGGACGAATTCATTGCCAATCTGTACACCCCGTAGGCAGCCTGGTTGGCGCGGCAGAGTGATCGTCCCGTGGTCTTCGAATGCTTCACCAACGCCAGGGCCGACATCGTCGCCCTCACCAACAGACTCCTACAAAGGGCGACCTCAGCCGTGGAAAGCCTTCGGGACACCCTAGGGGACACCGATGGCAATCCAGCTGGCGAGGAGCTTTTGCGGCAGATGGACGAGTATGTCAGCACACTGCGGAGCTGGCTTGGGAGTAACTCGCGACGGCGACGCCTCTTCGCACAATGCCTTTCGCAACGTCGAGGGGGATTTCAAGGCGAAGCGGTAACGTCAATGGTTATGCCATGACGCATTCTGCTCCTCCTTTGCATCGTCAAGTTGGTGACTGTCCCGGGCAGTAGGCGGCGTGCCTGCGCTCTTCTCTTTTGCCTTGCCCGATTGAGAAGGACTTCGAATCGGATCGGTCTCCGGTCTTTTTGCCCCAAGGGAGTTGCTTCGACGCTTGATAGGTCGAGTCAGCATCAGCAGAGATCAGGCCTCCCAGGGGAGCGCGGTGCTGCGCAAGCTCACAGGCAGCGTGGGAGGCGCATCCCCAGGGCCGAGCAGACTCACAGCAAGCGAGCCTCCGAGTCCCAAGAGGCGGTGTGGCCCTCCCCCGGAGCCAGGCAACGCGCGAAGCAATCCGGCCGACAGTTTAGCCCCAGCTTCCGCAGGCCGGGTGATGTTTCCGCAGTGGGAGCTTCGGTGGTTTCAAACTCCTTCGTCTCGAGAAGAGCTCTGCGACCGACACGTTCTCCAGTCTGTAGCGAGGCTTCACTGGAATGACGTAATCAGCAAAAAGCTTAGGCCTGTTTAAGATTCTTCCTCCCCCTGGAGGTTTTGGCATGGATCGGGGCCGCCCGCGCAACTCCTGGTTCAATGTGACTCTGTCGTAGGGGACCCTGGTAGCAAGGTGTTGCACTGGATCGGATTTTCTGAAACGGTCATCATGAGGGCCGGCATGCAAGAATTTCTTCACTGCACTGCGCAATCTGATCTGCCTGTTCCGCTGGACGCCAGGTCTCGGGGATCTGGCAACAAGGGCTCTGATCTCCGAGTGACAGCGCAGTGCCGAAGGCTTTCGAGAGGCCACCGCGTCCTTTGCAGAGTGAGCAGCGGCAAACCAAGGTGGCTGACATCCAGGATTCTCTCCCGCCTCTCCCTATTCATCGGCGCCACGAAAGGGAGAGGCTACATGCGAGGCCACCTTGGAGTTTCATGATCATAAGGTTCATTCTCGAGTGAAAGATCGTTCTCCACTCTTTCCGAAGGCAGGTGAATCTTTCGAACCAGTCGCAGGGCGCGTGCAGGTGTCTCCTGAGGCCAGTCGTGTCAGGCGTCCTTCTGATCTCGGCGAACAGTTCAAGCGCAGGAGAGTGGGTACGCGGTCCAGGTCTCCCACTAGCTTCGCGAAGTGGGAAGATCTCGCCGTACGTAGGACTTGATCGGTGCCTCTGAGGAGGGAGTCCGAGGTCAGCAGAGAACCCTCGCCACAACAGCCAAGCACCCCTACGAAAAATTACACCTGTGGCGAACGCACTTGGGAAGGTCAGTTGCACGACAGAAGCAAAAGTAAGCTCGATTAGGGCTTTGGATGCCGCGAGTGTTGAAATGAAGGGTCGGCTTCCGAGGTTCAGCCTTTGGATCAGCTGGTTGGCTGCCAGGGCCGCCAGGTACCCCAAAGCCTTCCCACCAGAGGCCAAGTATTGGAAACTCCAGGCGGTCACTAAAAACAAACTTAATCGGCGAGCGTCCTCCACATGCAATCACGGCACTGGTCTTCGGATCATTGTTAAGTATATAGCGACGGCTACTTTCGGCGTAAAAGGGGAAGTGCGGCTGGTGGCGTGTGTGTGGTTGAATTATACCTCGTTGAGGCGGCCATCCTCAACAAGTGGCTTTTCCCTGCAAGCAGGGCTGAATTTTGAAGCCGGAAGCGCTCGTCCTGTATTTGTTTCTGAGACTGGGTCCCGGAATCCCGTAATCCTCATGCTCCTCATCCTACTCCTGCTTCATCCTTCGCCGTCCATCCTCCCCCTCCTGCCCGCGCGACCATCACAAGCTCCCCTCTTCGGAAGGCGTCCACGGCCTCCTCGCATTGCCGGCGCCGCGGTGTGCCCGAGGAAAGCGGGCGGGAAGAGGGACGGGGAGGAGGAGGAGGAGGAGGAGGAGGAGGAGGAGGAGGAGGAGGAGGAGCAGCAACAGCGGAAGGAAAAGGGGGACGGAGGAGGGGAAGGGATGCGAAGGAGAAGAAGGGAGGGGAGGAGGAATGATGAGCAGAAGGAGCTGGACGTGAATGAACGAGGGGGACGTGGGACAACTAATGTCACGAGAAGGGTGAGGAGATAAAGGCGAGGAGCAGGAGGAAGAGGACATGGAGGTGGACGAGGAGGGTGAGGAAGAAGATGTGGAGGCAACTGGCCAATCAGCAATGCAGCGGATGCCGGCAACCTCTGCCTAATTTAAGACGGGCGTCACGTGCACGATCGTCGCACGCGAACGGAGGGAAAAAGGAGGCCGAGAGGGGAGGGGGGACAGGAAAAGGAATGAAGGGAGCAGAAGCGGAGGGAGGAGGGAGAGAGAGAGATAGAGAGAGACAGAGCGACAGAGAAAGAGAGAGAGAGAGAGCCAACACAAAACAGAGTAAGAGAGAAAGGGAGAGAACGATCAATCGAGAGAGAGCGAACGAGAAAGTGTGTGTGACAGAGCCATCGAGAAAAAGAGAGAAAGAGAGAGAGAGAGGGTGAGGGAGGGAGAGAGAGAAAGAGAGAGAGAGAGAGAGAAGGAGAAGGAGAAGGAGACAAGGCAATGAGTAGTACGGGAAGTATACGAGGACGACTGCCAGGATGGGCCCAGCTCCGCTGCGCCTGGAGACGACGGAAGCGAAGCCAGGGCCAAGGGGCACGACACTCGCCTGCGGCCTGTGCCCAGAAAGCCGTGCGCCGCAGTGGGGCCTCGCGGCCCGCCTTCGTCCTGCCTCTCCCCCTCGCCTCGGCTCCCTCCTGCTACGCCCCCTCTGCCTGCCCGTCCCGCTCCATCCTCCAAGTTCGCCTCGCCACCCCCCTTCGCTTCTCTCCCTCTTGCCTTCACCGTCCTCTCCCCCTCCTTCCCCTCGCTCTCCCCCTCTTCTTCCTCCTCCTCCTCCTCCTCCTCCTCCTCCTCCTCCTCCTCCTCCTCCTCCTCCTGACGGTGGTGCAGCAGGTACTTCAAACATGTTGTGCCCTTGACTGCTCGTGCTCTCGAGTCCGTCGAGCAGAGGGGCTGGCCCCTACTCGGAGCGCACAGCAGTCGACGGGATCCCGGCGGGGCCGCCGCCGGGAGAGAGGGGAGGGGCCGCCGCGGCGCCGCCGCAGCGGCAGGGGAAGAGCAGGTCAGGCGGCGAGCCCCCAGAGCGCATCCAGGGTGGCTCCATCGGGGGCGCAGGAAGCCCCCCTGGAGGCGAGCCTTCGGAGGGCGCCCAAAGGCAAGACGACGACGACCACGACGAGGAAGACGAGGAGGCCGAGAAGAAAGGGAAGGAGGAGACCGAGGAGACAGCTGCGGCCGCCTGCATCAGGACTTTGCCGTCGCCCGAGGCTGCTGCGGCCGCCGCCTGGAAAGCTCGGGGCGGGCTGGCAGGAGGCGCCGCGTCCAAGCCTCCGCGGCGGCCCCCGGAGGCAGCGGGGGCACCCCGTCCAGCAGCGGCGGGTGAAGGTGTGAGGGTAACCCAATGCCGCATCGGCCGTCTCCTACTCTTACGACTCGCCCCCCCTTCTCCTCCACCCCAATTCCCCCCCCCCCCCCCCCCGCGTCTGTGAAGTTGGTACACCTCCTCGTCCTCGCCCGACCCCTCCCCCCTGTCCTCTTCCCCCCCTCGTCATGTTCCTCACCCTCGTCCCCCACTCACTCCTCCACCCTCCCATTTTCTCACCCCCTCCTTCTCCACCCCGGCCTCCACGCTTATCCACCTCATCATCCTGCTCCCCCTCCTTCACCCTCTTCCCTCCTCCTCCTCCTCCTCCTCCTCCTCCTCCTCCTCCCCCTCATCGCCCTCCCCCTCCTCCCACCCTCCTCCTGCTGCAATTTCCCTCTCCCCTTCTCCGTTTTCTCCTCATCTTCCTCCTCCTCCTCCTCCTCCTCCTCCTCCTCCCTCCTCCTCCTTCCCCCCCTTGTCCACCGCCTGCCCCTCATTACCTCTCCTCATCCGCCCTCCTCGCACCCTTAATTCCCCTCCTCCCCCTACACAATTACTCAATATGAAAATACTCTCCCTCTTCCCCATGATGGCGTCCTGGTGATGGCCGCGCAGCCTCCGCGCACTGTTTTTTTACACACAGGATCCCCGGGAAATCCCTGGAAACGACTCTCGCTGAGGCGCCGCCGTCATTTTTTCCCAAAATGCTGCTCTCGTTGAGGCGCCGGCCTCATTTCTGCTCCCGAATCGTTCCGAATCGTGCTCCCGCTGCAGCGTGGGCCTCATTTTCGGATCGGTGTTTGGCCTCCGTCGTTCAGGATGGCGTTCTCGCCCCAGCGCGGGCCTTTTTCTCGCGCGCCCATCCGCCCGCCACCACCGCGCCGCACCGCCACCACCACCACCACCACCACCACCACCACCACAACCACCACCAGCACCAGCACCAGTACCAACACCACCACCACCAGCAGCACCACCACCACCACCACCACCACCACCACCACCACCACCACCACCACCACCACCACCACCACCACCACCACCACCACCACCACCACCACCACCACCACCACCACCACCACCACCACCACCACCACCACCACCACCACCACCACCACCACCACCACCACCACCACCACCACCACAACCACGCACGCACGCACGCACGTGCACCACCACCCACTACGCACGCGCGCGCGGAGCCACAGGTCCGCTACGACACGCGTCCGCGGATAGAGAAAATCAGCGCCATGGTAAGGGATGGGAGGGAGGGGTAGGACGTCAGATATGACGCGAGCGCACCTAGCTTGTCGTTTCCCCCTCTCCCTCTTCCCTCCTCCCCTCTCCCCCTCGCCCCTGCCCGCCGCTTCACCACCACCATCCTCCTACTCGTCCTTCCCTCCTCCTCCTCCTCCTCCTCCTCCTCCTCCTCCTTATCCTCCTCCTCCTCCTCCTCCTCCTCCTCCTCCTCCTCCTCCTCCTCCTCCTCCGCCGCCTCCCCATCCCTCCGGCTCAACCCTCCTCCCCTCTCCGCTCCACCCTCCTCATGCACCCTCTGCTCCGCTGCTCCGCCTCGCCCCGCCCTGGCTGGGGCCCGGGGGTCCTCAACCGTAGACCACGACATTTCGGAGGGAGCTGTGGCTCGCGGCCGCTGCTGACGCGCAGGCGGAGCAGCGCCCAAAATGGCCGCGGGTTTCGTGCCGAATGGGCTGCGTGAGGGAGGGGGAGGGAGGAGACGGCGGGAAAGAGGAGGACGAGAATGCAGAGAGGATGACGAGGAGGCGGAGGAGGCAGGCACAGCGTGCGGACGAGTTCAGGAAGAGGAAGGGAGGAGGAGGAGGAGGAGGAGGAGGAGGAGGAGGAGGAGGAGGAGGAGGAGGAGGAGGAAGAGGAGGAGGAGGAGGAGGAGGAGGAGGAGGAGGAGGGAGGGCGAGGGATCAGGCAAGGGTGGCGGAGGGAGGGAGGGAAGGATGATGGAAAAGAGAGGAGGGGGGGAAGGATGATGCAAAAGAGAGGAGTGGAAACAGAACACCTTCTCCGTGCCTTCCTTCTCCCACTCCTCCTAATCACCTCCATCCTCCGTGTGTTCCCCATGCCTTCCCCGACGTTCCCAAGTCTCCAAGGGAACTCAGGCACGACGCGCAATTGCATAGTCACCGGCAGAAGCGGCTTCCACAACTGAAGTCGAAGCCTGTTCTGAACGATGCGTGCAGCCCTTCGGCCCTCCTGAAGCACGTCACGGGCGGCCCAGGGGGCCTATTCGGGCGCTCGCAGGCCCTAATTTGGAGCTCGATGTGGGGGCTCTCGCAAGGCCGAATTGCTCATACCGCGGGCCGAGCCCCGTGCTCTCGACTCCGTCTCTTGACTCTTGACCGCCACGGCGTGTAGCGCTGGAGCCACGAGAAGCCCGCCCCCCCCACTTCCTCCATGCGTCGCCCAGAGGTCTGGGCCTCTCGGGGGCCTCCCGGGGAACCCCTCCTGAGGCCCTGGGCCCCACGGGAGCCCACCACAAAATTCGGCAGAGGCCCCCAGGAGGCTGCCACGATCACGTCCGAGACACCGCCGAGACCGTGCGGAGGATCACTCAAGGACCGACGAACGCCACCGCAGCGCGCCCAGAGGCCTCCGAGAGACCCCCCCCCCGAGACCGTCGAGGGCGACGCCGAGGTCCGGCGGCCGGCCGCCCGAAGCCTCCGCCGGGGACGTCCGGACGCCTCCAAGGACCGCCGACGCAGCCCGAGCGCCGCTGAGGGCGCCCCGGAGCCGCCCATGGGGCCTTGGAGGAGGGACGAGGGAGGAGGAGGAGGAGGAGGAGGAGGAGGAGGAGGAGGAGGAGGAGGAGGAGGAGGAGGAGGAGGAGGAGCCAGCTGAGGCAGGTGGAGAGGGGGTCCCCCGAACACCAGGGAGGTCCCGAAGGCGCCCTCGGAGGATGGCCAGCTGCCTCCGAGAATTTCCCAACGTGGGCCGCCGACAGCGTCCCCCTTCGAGTCGCCGCGGCCCCTGGAGCTCTCGACGCCTCCCCCAGGAGAGCCCTCCGTCCCGAGTCGCGCCTCGTAAATGAAGGGGCCCCAGGACACACACAAATAAATACACACAAATAAAATGATTCCCCATATTTTCTCATATTTTCGGGGTTTTTGTCTTCCCCCCCACTTCCCATATTTTCCCATATTTTCCTGGGAATCGACGATTAATTGTGTCTGTGTGTTTCTTTCCCTCATGAGTAAACGCCATGTCTGCAGAAGTTGCTACTGCTCGTCACGCCTCCAGGACAGATCGGGACCAGCTGCCACGGTGTCGGGGAACACTGCCGGGGGGCCACCCGAAGGCCTGCGCGCTGAGCCGCGTGCGCGCGGTGCCTGGGAGGCGGGCTGCCATGCGCAAGCAGCGCGGGCTGCGCCGTCAGCGTCCTCCTCTCCCGCTCGACCTTGGGGCGCGGGAAGGGGGGAGCGGGAAGGGTCAAGGCCTTACTGTACCTGAGATTGCTCGCCTATCCATCATACTGACCACCATTGGCCATCGTTTGCTCTCATGTTCGCCTGATCTCTCACTGGGCTCCGTCGCGGAAAACTGCATCCTGTCCTTCCTGCTGCTCTCTGCGCCTGGTGTTTCACGTAGGCGCGGGGGAGCGGGCCGGTCGTCGATCGGCCGACTGACGCTTCGCGCTCGCGCCCGCGGCCTGCCTGAGAAGAGATACGGCCAAACCTCTTTAGGGTCCCGACACTAACGAAACGAAACGGCACGAATGTTTTGGAGGCCACCTTGGTTCCTCCAGGACGGAAGCGCAGACGCCTGCCCATACCCCCGCAGACGTTGATGGCAGCGACGGGTTGCCCTGGGATCGACGAGAGAGTCCCGCCGTGGGCGCCGACATCTCAAATAGGAGGCATGGCGACCCTCAGAAATAAAGCAACATAATGAACATACATACCCTTGCCTGGCCCCCAATTTCGCCTGGGTGCACGAGGGGGCGTTGAAGGAGCAGCTGTGAAAAGGACTGAGGAACATAGAAGCCCTTCCGCGCCCAGGCTGTTCCGTATGTCGGCATCTTGGCTGTAGGGGGGAGGGGGCGAAGGGCAGGCGAAGGAGAGGGACCAGACAGTGCCTGCCCTTGACCTTCACTCTGCTGGTCCAGCTTTCCTCGCCTGTTCCAACATTTTCAGGACTGCTCCACAATCCACGAAAGTACACATTGGAAGGGAACTCTCAAGCTTTCGTCAGGCCTGCACAGTGTCAATAAGAGCAAGAACGCAGCTCAGCACAGGAGGGCGTGCGGACGCCGAGAATCCTGACCAAAGCTTGAGAGTCTCTCCAGTGTGTGTGTGTGTGTGTGTATGTGTGTGGTCCTCTTGGGATTTTTTTCGCGCCTGCCCCTGTCGGGGTTCGCGCTGCTGAGGGGCACAACAGCCTCGCTACTGATGATCGCCTGCGGACGCGGGGAACCAAAGGTAGTCCCAGGAGGCGCCCACGACGCTGCAGTACTGGGGAGACAGACCCAAAAGGACCGATGCCGCTACTGCCCAGACCTCTCCCAGGGTGCGGTCTGACCAGGATTTCGAGGCGAATCCAGCGGTGGCGACGAGGGCCGCCGAGGAGGCCCAAGAAGGGGAAGACGGCAGAAAGGTAGAGGTGTGGGTACCTGTTCCTCCCCCCTCCCACGGGAGGTCCCCATGACTCCTCACGGGCACTCGTCTCCACAGGCACTCGTCCTCACTGGCGGAGGAGGAGGAGGAGGAGGAGGAGGAGGAGGAGGAGGAGGAGGAGGAGGCCCCCTGTTGAAAGACGAGCGCCTCGTCGGCCTGCCATGCCCAAGTGAGCGCCCGGCCTCGAGGCACGAGCCCTCCAGCCGTCCCAATGGGCTATCCGCCACCGTGCCCCCTACGCACAGAGCGGAGTGCCTCCTTGTCCTTTCGAGATATTTGCGCATTCTCTGGCAATGGTCCAGCCCCCCTCGAGCTCCGGGAATTTCTGGGTATGGGGCGTGGCGTTTCCCGAGTCTCGGGGGCATGGCCCGGAATCCAAGACATCCAACATGCCCCAGCATGGTACCATGGGGCCGTACAAGGCGAAAATCCAAGACACACTGGTTCCTATATGACTTTCGCATGCTTGCTTTTTCGGCCTCGAGAGGGTCCAAGACGGCCCCGTAGGCCACGCAAATCGCTCCAAGAAGACCCCCAAACCCTGAAGAGAGGCCCTAACGATCCGAAGGCCGCAAGAAGGGCTTCAGAGGGGGAACGCAATGAGACCTTCGAAATCCTCCACCGCCGAGACCGCCTCCAGGCCCCCATCAGGCTTCCAAAGGTCACCAGAGGCCCCCAAAGATCCTCAGAAGCCCTCCGAAACGCCTCTGAGAGGCCCCGAGACCCGAAAAGGCCGACGAGAGGTTCCCCAAGAGACCCCAAGGCTCTCAGAGGCATCGAGCCCACGACCCAGGAACGGTGGCAGGGACGGGCCGATGGGAATTAGATGCGCAAGGAGCAGAACGACGTAGGATCGCAGGTAGTGTCCAGTGCTAGCCTAAGATTCAGAAGCCTCGCTGCATCTGGTGAGACGACGCGCGATCCGAAGATTTTGGTTTGGTTGCAATCCCGAATGCTCAAGTGAGAACCCCATGTTGGCAAAACTTCGTAATCCGTTCGTGTGGCTGTTGTACCGTGTTAAGTTTGTGGTCATTGAGTGCTTTGGGGCAGAAACAGAAGAGAATAATTCGAAGAAACGGTCCCGCCCTCCATCCAGGTAGCTGTCGAGACAACGTTCAACGAATCAGAGGTAAGCCGAAACAAACGACTCGTTCATATCTGGATGTTGCATTGGGATGTGTACGCAACGCTCCAGAGCGATGGCGATGATAGACACGCGCAGCCAACCGAGGCATCTAGAACCAACGTGCGCGCGCGGCGCCAGCGTGAGAACCTCCGACAAGGAGGCGGGAAGAGGCGGAGGAGGGGGGAGCAGACGGGGGTGCGGACGGCTCCACGCGGGGAAAGCACGGCGGCCGCAGGGAGCCCGCTCCCCTGCCTCGCGACCTGCGCCTGCGCCGCGGCCCAGCCGCCGCAGGGGCCAGCTCGCGAGCCGCGGCCAACTTGGCGCCCAGCAGCCGCACCGCGGCCGCGCGGCCCACGCGGGGCCCCGCGCCGCCACGCGCGGCTGTCAGCGCCCGCGAGCAGCGCCCTCGCCGCTCCCTCCCGCCGCGGCCCGCGGGCCTGCGGGAGGCGCGATGCTTCTGGCCGCCCAGGCCGCACCCGCGCTGGCGGCGCCATGGCAGCAGCGACCGCCGCCTCGTCCGCCTCCCGCGGCGCCCGCCTGCGGCGGTGCCCAGGCGCCGCCCAGCGTTGTCGAACCCGGCCTCACGCGCAGCGCGTGTGAAGCCATCGCGATTGCACTGGCACGATCCCGCCGAGGCCCCGGGGCTGCTGGGCGTGCGAGGTTGGCCTCCTGCGTTGTCGGACCCTTGGGGCCCGCCCGGGCCAGCACCGCCGCGGCTGGCCACTTCTGGGGCGGCCGGCCCCGCTGCGGCCGCCACGCGCGGGACCGCCGCGCGCTGCTGCTGGCGAGAGGCCCGCGGCGGGAGCTGGGCCCGCGCGCCAGTGACTCACCCAACCGGTCCACCCGCGGCGCCCCCCGGCCCTGCAGTGCCCCCCTGCCGGAACTTCCCATCGGGCCGAGTGGCCTATCACCAAGCGGGGCCCGGTGCGGCACTGCAGTGCGATCGCCTCCCTCGGGCCAGCGCGCCGCCGATTCATCCAGCTCGCGCCACCGCGCAGCGCGGTCACCGTGCGCGCGACGAATCGCGAGTCGGTGGCGACCTCCAGCGGCGCCGCTGAACGTGCGCACAGCGGCTACACAGCTCCGCGCGCTGCAACGTCTGCCCGGCCGCCCTGCGGATACGTCTGGCGGTGCGGCGACGAGGAGCTGTCTTTGAGGAAGAGGGATGTGAATCTAGCTCAACTGCGACGTTGTGCGGCCTGGGCAGCGCGCGGGGAGCGCCTTCTCCATCCTCCCCTTACTGCCAGTCCTGCCCCCTACCCCCCTTCTCCTTCCCTCGTGCTGCCTCCTTACCTGCCTTTCTTCCTCTCTCCGCTCTCCTGGCCCCTTCTCCTCCTATTCCTGCCGCGCCACCGACCTAAAATGCCTTATGGATCTCTTCTGGGCCACACTCTGTGACCAGAATTTCGAAGATGACCCATCCGTCTCGACGAGGCGCACCCCAGGGGCCCAAATGTGGAAAGCCCCGATCATCGGACGTCAGTCGTCGAATCTCATCCCTCATGGTCACCTGGAGACTCGAGATCCTCCTCGTCCTCCTTCGGATCCTTTCCCGGCGTGTGAAGAGGTCCCAGAAGGTTCCGAGGGCCTCCGCAGGCAAATGATTAAGAAACAATTGGTACTCGAACGGCCGCCCTTGCCCCCTCGAACCCCTCCTCCCCCCATGATGGTTTTTTGATGGCCGACAAAGACGACTCAATTCCACAGCTGGGCCTCCAGTGCATGCGAAAGGGAAGTGCTGACCGCATAACACGCCGCATCAATTATGTCTCAAGACTGTTGGCCCAAAAGGTGTTGATCATAGGACGTGATCAGAGCAATCGAGGCTACTCCATGTTCACAAGTATTGTGCCATGCTCAGCCCGCAAAGGTGAGTCAGCGCGAGCGTTCCTGTATTGCATGCTGGTGGACTATATGCTTGCAAAGCTCGGGACCCATATTCCGATTCATAAATTATTCTAGGGCCCGAGACCCCGAGCAAAAACACCCCCCTCTCCCCCCCCTCCCCAAACGAATCTGGCCCAGCGCAAGCCTCTCGGGCAACCCTCCAGACGACCCGGGAGAAACCCGGGAGAACCCCACGAGAGCCCGAAGACGGCGCCAGAGGGCTCCAGAGGCGTTCCGGCGCGCTCCCGAAACGATCCCAGAAAGCCCCAAGACGATACACGACGAGCCCAAAGAATCCGTCATACCCCCAAAGATCGCTCCAAAACATCCCCAGAGGCCTCCAAGAGCACTCCCAAGAGGGCCCCACGAGGCAAAATTCATTGACTTTCTGTTGGTTTCTGGTGAATTTGGGGGTTCTCCTCTTTTCGGCTTCGCGACGCTCCAAGACGGCGGTCTTTTGGGCGTCCGAAACCTCCTGGGATGCTCGAAAATCGCCCCACAACCATCCGAAAGGGCTTCCAAGCAGTCCAAGAGAGATCAACGACGGCACAACAGGGTTCCAAGATGGCCTAAGTGAGCCCCATGACGGCCCAAAATGGCCCCAAGACACCCTCCGAAGTATTCCAAATCGTGACCCGGTTCTTCAGGGAGACGCAGGGTGGCCCGAGGAAGCCCCCAGAGGCCCTCAGGAGATGCCCAGGAGGCCTCGAAAAGGCCTTAAGAAAGCCTGAAACCTTTTTGTGAGGCCCCAGAAGCTCTCCAAGGAGGAGCCTCCGCAAAAAAAAAACTGAGGAGGATGGGGAGAATACGCAGGGTATGGCGAGAATGAGGAAACATAAACGAGGAATGATAACGCATAACATTATTATAACGGCGATGCCGCAAAAGTCAACAAGAAGTTATCGCTAAATTGTCGGCTTGAGTTTCCTGCAGTTCCGCCTGCATACCAAACTTCAAGGACCACGGTTCATGGCGCGAAGCGCCAATGCAGTCTTGTATATCTACATATCAATATGTATAGACACATAGTCTTAAGGATTCCAGACAGGTCGCTCTGCGGCGCACAGGTTGGCAGCATGGCGCCTGGGAGCGCTTACCAAATCCCCAGGGATGCCAACAGGTAAGAGCTGGTCGAGCAAACGAACATCTCTCGAGGTCACGCCGAGGCCGCAGAGGGCCTCCGAGGGCCGCCGTCGACTGACGGCTGCGAAGGCCCGCCAGGACAACGAGGCGGCAGGATATGGGACGGAGAAGCGAGGTACCGATACCCGCTGCTCCCCGTACCTCCCACAGGGTGCACTCCTGCGAGAATGTCGAGGCGAATCCAGCCGCGGCGCCGAGGGCTCTCCAGGACGAGCAGCAGCATCGGTCCACAACATCGGCACATGTGCCTCCTCTCCTCTGCGGGCGGGCCTCGTGGACCCGGCGGAGCGACGTCCTCGTCGCCCTTGTCGTCGTCGACGTCGCCGTCGCCATCGTCAACGTCGTCGTCGTCGTCGTCGTCTTCGTCGTTGCTGGTGTCGTCGTTGTCGACGTGCCGCCGAGGGGCCGCCCGAGATCCCACGGGCGGCGCTCGCCCCCCCGAGGCGCCCGCCTGGCTCTGGCGCCACCTCCGCTGCGCGAGCTGCAGCCCCTCCAGCGCCGCCTGGCGCTGGGCCCTCCACTGCCGCCCGTCCTGCGGCGGGCGCCGCTGTCGGCCATCGGCGGCCGCCCACGAAGGAGGAGGAGGAGGAGAACGAGGAGGAAGAGGAGGAGGAGGAGGAGAAGGAGGAGGAGGAGGAGGAGGCGGAGGAGGAGGAGGAGGAGCAGAGCGTGGAAAGGAGGGAGCGAATCCGACCTGGCCCTCCTCGACCCCAGCCTCTGGCCGATTCGGCTTGAGGTCTCTGAGGGCAGTCCGAACCGCCATCTCATTGGTGGCGGGTATATGTGTCTTCTCAGGGGGAAGTGCCTAAGTATGGGATGAACGCGCGTGGCGATATAAGCCTTTTTCTAAAACCTGACCGGTGTAGTGCTTAAGCCCCCAACGATCCAATGGGTCCGAAACGAGGATCAGACACCTAAGCACGCGCGAAACAGACCAGGCAAGCCTAGGACACGACGCATAATGAACCGGTCGATCCAAACAATTCTCACAACCGAAAATGCACGCGCCCCCACCACGCTCACTCAATATGCGATGCGATACGACGTTAACCATCCACCCGCAGCCGTCCTCAACTAGGCCCAGGACCAGGAAGGGGGAGCCTGTCGCAAGACTCTTTCGGTCTCCGCAACATCGATAGCATCGATGTCAGCAGCACGTTGAGGCCACCACTTGAGCAGCCTGCCTTTCACTATCTGTTCCACACAATCTCGTGGCCAGAGTTCGGAGCAAGCCAGGAACGCGGGCCCACGTACTTTCAGTTGCGGGCGCTGGTTCTTGGCAGCAGCAGCGACATCAGCAGCGGCACGATGAAGCTCATCATTCCTCCCCTCCTGAGCCCACATCATATACTCATCAAACGACTACGGCGCCCCGTGATTCGGATATTTCCTCCCGTCGGGTAATACAGTGAAGCGACATGAACCCCGATTCCCCTCAGATCCAAAGAAACCTTCCAACCATGTATGTGCAAGCTCGAACTCTGGCATCGTACCGATGGCCATCATCGCAACACCAGGTACCAGATGAAGAGTAGCGGCGATACTTTCGGGCCTCCCCAGTCTCGCAGGGCACGCCAAACCTCGGTGCTGAACGTGCGAAGACGAACACGACATGCAGAAACGAGAGCCCCCAGTTCCACGTCAATCACGTGCCTGGGCGGCGGCAGAAACTGCATGACAGAACTGAGGACGGGCAGGCATCAAGTGTGATGCAACATACTCGACAACGATGTGGACTGAACTCCGCGACCGATCGCCGTCGCCCGAGACTGGAACTTAGCGCAAGGCCCAGGCCAGGAATCAAAGACCGCAGCATCAGGCCCCAGCCACATCCCCGAGTAAAACAACGCCCCCTCCACCTCGAAGCTTTTTCACTGCAGCGCGCGCAGCCCCAAGTATTCGTGCGCCCTCCTGCTGATGCCCTCCGTTAGCCGCGAAGCAACAGGCGCGCGAAGCAAAGTAGCTGGTTTAAGCCAAAGGTGAGCAGCGCGCCCAATAACTTCCATGATTCGGGCCAGGGCCCGCAGAGTCGCCAAATGCTTCAAAACGCCACCAATGCCATCCGCACACGCTCGGCTAAGACCTTTCTTCGGGGCCCCCAGACTCACGGACGCGCCCTGCAAGGTAGGCGCCAGCTCCACAGCAAGAAGCGATCCCAACAGGGAACCGGCCCAGATCATTTCCGAGCGGATCCAGAAAGCGCGCCATAGTGACCCCCCCCGCATGCCATCGCCCCTTCGAAAGCCGAGAACAGCAGTTCAACGAAACGCGGCAATGCACGAGGACAACCCATCCTGCGGAGCACTAGCAGCAGGTAGTTGAGACAGACTAGGCAAGGCGCGTCCGTAATCCAGCGCAAAAAATATGTGGCAATCACTGTCAGCTTCAGGACGGCTGCAACAGGCTCTGGCCGCCGCGTCCAGTTCGACGATGTTCATGGCAAGGTTGCGGCCTCTCATGAACCCGCGTTGAGACGGGCGCGCAAAAGCTGCCAGGGGTTTCTGAATCAATATGTTCACCGCCGCCGTGATCACATTGAAAGTCGTGTTGCGCAGGCCCAGGGCCCTGGCCGAGTTGACATCCCTGTCGCATTCTCCAGTTTGCGCATCCCCCTCCCGCTCTCGGCGAGACAGATTGCAGCGTGAAGCTCTCGTTGGCGGACGGCGCAATGCCCTGGGACACGCCGAGCGTCGCGTCGCGCAGGAGCTCCACTCCAAAGGGGTTCGCAGACAGCGCAGCATAGCATAGCATGTGCATCCAGGAGCAGCACCCGCTGCCCGCTGGATGGCCTTCTTTAGAGTACTGAGGGGCGCTGGCGGAAAGCTGGCGAACTCAACGGGCCAAGCAAATCTCGACGCGCAAGCAGCGGCCGCTTTCTCACGCTACTCCTCCCCCAGTGCCGGCATAGTTCATTGCGTTTCCCATCTGGGCCAGCGGACCATCCACCCAGGCAGTTCGGGGGGCCAGCCGAGGAGCGAACGGGGCCGAAATCCGAGCGCGATGTTCAAGCGCACGAATGCACGAACGAAGATTGGCTCCTCCTCCATCGCCTGCCCCACCGTGGACCCCCATTCGAGTTCGCATCTCTGCTTTGTCCTGATCGAAAGCCTGGATCTGCTGCGCGTTGCACCATTGCTGGAAGGGCGCCGCGCGCGCCAGCTCCATCTTCGACCCGGGCCCCGGGGGGAAATCAGCAGCTGCAGGGCGGATCCCCATCGGGCGCGCGGCGGCCTGCGCATGCAAGAGCCGCGCCGCCCTGGCAATCGCTCCCGCCGCCAAGAGTAAGGCACGGGAACCATTCGGCTTTCGAATGCGAAGAAGGTCTCTCGCCCCCCAGACTGGCCTCGACCATTTTGTTTGTTGCGCTCCAACCCTCGGTGGACACATCTCCACCAGCTCATCCTTCTCCGCTTCCAAGAACCGACCAAGAACAAGTCTGAGCTCCTCTGACTTGCAGATATGCTTCGGGATAAGGCGATCCCCGACTTCAGGGAGGCGACGCTGCGGGAAGGTGACCGCGTGGGCAGCGCGATCGCTCGCGCGTGATCGGGAGACGTCCTCTGGGTCCCTCATCGACGTTGGCCGTCGTCGCCAGCTGCGCGAGTGCCCAGCCAGGCCACGCGCGCCAGCATCTGTCAGTCGCGGCCACCGCGTCAGCACGAGCGTCGTAGCGCGTCGTAGAGCGTGGGAGTCCGCTGGGAAGCGTGAGCACGCAGCGAGCGGGCTACCCGGAGAGCAATAGATGGCCGCACAAACGTTGCTTGTTCTTCCTCGGCAAAGTTAAATCTTCGCGCGCAGCCGCCAGACAAAATTCGGGGGAGGCCTCGGACCTGAATCCGCCCTGGGAAATCGCACCGCACACGTCCCGAATTTGCTCAAGGGTCAACCCATGGTTATGGATGTTCCAATGGATGAGCTCCGCGTTTCCATTCGCAGAACACACGCGCAACACGCGACCAGGCATGTCTTCGGAGGAGGAGGCAGAGACCCCAGAAAAAAAAGATATGGGCATGACTGGCCAGCATGTTGCACGCCGGGCAGAACCGCGGCCACCCCGCCACGGATCCGACCAGCGCGGCCATCGCCGCAGAAGCTCGATTACACAAGAGCTCATGGGAGGGCCTTCTGCAGGAAAACCTGAAGCTGGAAGGCGTCCTGATGGGCCTCCTTGAACGCCGTTGCCGAGGCCGTAAAACAGACGTCCCATGCATCCCAGCTTCGTTCTGGCATGGACACCCGCATACTGCAACGAAGCTCGGCAGTTCCACGAATTAAATCGCAGCCCCTCAACCGATTCGGGACCCTGGGGGCAGGGGAAAGAAGAGTTAACAAACAACCTCCTGGAACGGCTAAAGGCACCACTGCGGCTCAGCCTTAGGCTCCGCGGCGGATTCGATCGCACCCACGAGCTCCATCTTCGAGGAGCAATACTTGTTGATCGCCGTTTGGCACCACTTGACTGCCGTCGCCTGGCGGCCTTCCTGTGGGTCCAGCTTGGGCAGTGGGGCAGCGGGTCCTAGCCGACCGACAGCCCGCCCCGCTCTCTGCTGAAAAACAGGCGCTGTCGATCTCCAATCTTCTGCAGCAGTAATAGTCGTACTTTGCGGCCCGGAATCTCCATCTTGACCTGCCTCGTTGTCTCGTTGCCGCTGATGTGCAACTTTGCGGGGCCACCTGTGCCACGCGACTGGGCATCAAACCGGCGCCATCCATTCTCCCCCCGCAGGAGCGAGAGAGCTTCGGCAACGCATCTTGGAGCCAGGCCCACACCGATGTTGACCCGAATCGTAGTTCCGCGAGATGGGGTTGCGAGCCTCGATACTCCACCACTCGTCCGCGAAGCCCGCTTCAGCCAGCCAGGGAGCGATTGCGTCGACCACCACTGACTTCGCCACCATCTTGCCCGCGCTGCTCTTGATGACGGTGCCGCCCGCGTCCCGCTCGAAGCCCGAGTCGAGCTTGATGGGGGACGACGGTTTCTTGTCCGCCATCGCGAGAGACTCCTGCAACAGCTTGACTTGGTCCGCCAGCTCGATGAGCTTGCGGTCGTGGATGTCGATCTTGGTCGCGTGCTCGTCCAGCGTCGCCTGCATGTCATCGCGTGTCTAGGATAACTCCCTGCGCAGCTCGCAAATCTTGGGGTTGACCACATCGAGGAAGGACCTGTCCAGCTTCTTGGGCAAGGCGTCGAACTCCACCTGGCACTTGCGCATGCAGTCCGCGAAGTGTTTCGTGAAATTCTGCTCGAGCGGAGCAGTAGCCTTGGAGACGGCAGAGCCCACCATGCCGTCGAGCTGAGACTGGATCGTAACCAGCTTATTGGTGAAATCGCCGAGCTCGTCGGACATGTCGTCGGGGAGAACAAGGCCTTCGTCGTCATCAATCGCACCAGGCCGTATGTCACCAGCATCATCAGCAGGAGGACGCTTGCGACCATTGCCCTTGGAGTCCTTGCCCGCCCTGATGACACCCCTCGTGGACGAGGCCGACCGCTTGGCGAGAGACTTCGGGACCGAACCATTGGTCCCAGACGTGCGGGCAGGAGACTGCGAAATAATGACTGAAGAAGTGTAGCCCGAATCCACCTGTGAAGGCTAAAGAAAAGAGTGCCTGCCTCAAGAGGCTTGCCTGTCGCGGGCTAGCGGTATCCAACTTTGCCAATGCGGGCTCAGCCCGCCAAAGCATTGGTTTTGAACCAAAACAGCTACGGAGGAGGAGCAGCAGCAACCCAGGGAGCGCTGTCTGTGTGCTGCCCAGCGCCCAAGCACTGCCCACGAGCCTGGGAAGCGTTGCCCAAGTGCTGCCCCCGAGTCTATAGGAAGCACTGCCTGGAAGCTGCCCTTGGGCCTGCCGGGGCGCTGCGCTTGCGCTGGGGCCCAGAAAGGCGCCACGAAAGCGCCTCAAAAGCTTCTCGATCTTCGATCCACCCCTCCATGTTCGATCCGCCCTCCCCCTCCTCCCTCGACCCCCTCCTCCAGTGATGACCGACCTTCCCAGACCTCCCACGTCGCGATTTGTTGTGAAGCGTGGACCTTCCAGAGGTCGAGACCGCTTCCCCAGGGCCAGCTCTTCATCCTGAGTCAGCTGGGCCATTTTTCGGCGGCCGAGTGGCCCATGAAGGGCCCTAGGAGGCCAAAACCAACGGACACGAGGAGGTCTGGGTTTGCACTGCCCAACCTCCCTCCCTCGGCCCTTCGGGGGACTTGTTGGGGGGGGACCAGCTCAGGGGGGGGGGGGGGCGGGGAGACATCGAGCTGGAACGGAATCGGTGACATCGCCGATATAATTACCTGCGACAGGCCCTCGCGACGCCCAACACATCCTCCAAACCCGCCGATCCTCAGAGATTTCGAGCTATCTCGATCCGATTTGTTGTCCCGATCTTCGCGTCGTTTGAGGAACTCTTGACCACGCCTCCCCCGGACCCGTTCTCGCTCCGCTCTGTGACGGCCCCACAGGGCCCGGCGAGGGGGCTCCAGACGCCGAGCACGATGACGGCCTGGACTCTCGAAGTGCGTTCGAGGCCTGGGCGTCGGCCGTGAAGGGTCGACCCGGGGTCGACGCGCCCCCCTCCCCCTCTGGGCCTGCTGCCGGGAACGTTTGGACAGCGTGTCGGCACGGCGGCCCCGGCGACATGCTACGCCCTGCGAGTGGATGGCGTGTCGCGCCGCTCCGTGCGACGGGACGCTCACAAGAGCGCGGGACTTTGACGCTCGGGGGCTGAGACGTGGATAGCGCGTCGCGCCGAAGCGTGGTGGGCCAGACCAGGCAGAGCGACACGCTATCCAGAAGATCTCGACCGTACCCCCCCTCACGATGGCGTCTCCTGATTCCTGAAGACGGCGTCTCTTGATGCCTGGGCGCCGCTCGCCACCAGGGCCCCCTGCTTGACATCCCCTCGCTAAGGCAAGCGATTCTTAATTCTTGACCCGTTGACAAGATCAGCAGTCGTCACCTTAAGATGATCCAGCTGCCCTCCTCCCTAACCGAATCGCGACTCGTATCCTCAAATTCTGCCCTGCCACTGCCCCCGACAAAGAACCGCGGGCGCCCCGAGGAGGAGAAGGAGGAGGAAGAAGGGAAGGAGAAGGAGGAAAGGAGGAAGAGGAGGAGGAGGAAGAGGAGAAGGAGGAGGAGGAGGAGGAGCAATAGGAAGACGATGAAGAGAAGGTCCTGCCGCGCCCCCGGCGCGGCGCCTGGGCCCCGCAGCCCCCCCGCCCAGTCGCCGGGCGCGCAGGCCTCGGGGCTGGCCACCGGCGGCGACAGCGACGACGACGACAATGCTGGCGGCGAGGTTGGCGGCGACGACGGCGGCCGCGGCGAAGGCGGCGACGGCGGCGGCGGCGACGACGATGGCGTCGACGACGGCAACGACGAGGACGACGACGAGGAAGACGCGGACGATCACGACGACGACGACGACGATGACGACGCAGCGACGGCAAAAGCGACCGCGGCGATGGCGACCGTGGGGACGGCGGCGGCGGCGACCACGGCGATGGCGGCGATCACGCGGCGGAGGCGGGCGCAGGCGCGGCCAGCGGGCCGTCGTCGTCATCTTCGTCGTCGTCTTCGCAGTCGTCGTCGTCGGCGCTAGAATCGTCGGCGCCATCGCCGTCACCGTCGTCGTCGTCGTCGTCGCCGCCTTCGTCGTCCTTGTCGTCCTCGTCGCCCTCGTCGCCGTCGCCGACGCCATTATCGTTCTCGTCGTCCTGGTGGTCCTGGTCGTCGTCGTCGAAGACGCCCTCGTCGTCGCCGTCGTCGTCGCCATCATCTTCCTCTTCGTCGTCGTCATCGTCGTCGACGTCGACAATTCTTCAGCCGGGGGCAGAACTGTCTCACCTGGGGCAGGAGAATGACAAATCGCCTTCAGAGCTATTTTCCTTCAGTGATCGGCTGCATGCAGGCGTGACGCTTCTTGTGCGCGGCTTCGAAACGGCCGCGCGGGGGCTGGGGGGAATCCAAGCGCGCCGGCCAGTGTTCTGGGGACCGCTGTCTGCCCGCTCCAGGGCAAGGCCGTCCATGGCGACAGCAGAACCGAACACCGACCGAACCTGCAGCGGCACCGAAGCTGTCCGCAACCGACAGGCCGTCCGGCAGCCCAGGGGGGCGCCGGCGACGCAGCAGTGACACCTCCGAAGGATTGCAAAAAGTGACACCTCCGAAGGGTTTTTTTGCAATCCAGTTTTTTTTTTTTGCAATCCTTCGGTTTTTTTGCAATCCTTCAGCCCAGGGGGGCGCCGGCGACGCAGCAGTGACACCTCCGCCGACCGAGCCGAAGCGACCGAGCGCGGCCGACGTCGACGCAGCCGAAGTCGGCCGAAGAGAGGACGCCCTTTTGACGGCGCGCACGCGGGGGTGGCGCGCGGGAGGCGGTCTTCTTGTCAAGGACGCGGGGGGGGCGGAGGAGGAGGGGGGGAGGAGGAGAGGAGGAGGAGGAGGAGGAGGAGGAGGAGGAGGAGGAGGAGGAGGAGGAGGAGGAGGAGGAGGAGGAGGAGGAGGAGGAGGGAGGAGGAGGAGGAGGGGGAGGAGGGGGAGGAGGAGGAGGGGGAGGAGGAGGAGGGGGAGGAGGAGGAGGAGGAGGAGGAGGAGGAGGAGGAGGAGGAGGAGGTGGAGGAGGAGGAGGAGGACCTTTTTCTGAGAAGGCCGCCCCTCGCGCGCCACCTGCGCGCACGTGGCCGCTGGCCCCTGCAGAGGTCACCCCAGCGAAGGGCCGCTCTCCCGCGCGCAGTCGCGAAGCCGGCATGCAGGAAGCGGGCCCCGAAGAAAACGCGGGCGCTGGGCCCCCTCGGGCAATGAAAAAATCATAACGGGAGGTTTTTCGCTACAGTCAAAAACCCTAATCAGGACGCGCGGTAAGGACGCAAGACCCTTGGAAGCCGAAGTTGGGATTTTTGGGGCGGCGGACGACGAAAACCCCCAGGACGCAAGAGCAAGGAAAAGCAAGGACGCAAGGGTAACCTGAGCAAAGTCGCGCGTCCTTATTAAGGTTTTTGACTGTATTTTCAGCCTCTGGGGGCCCTTACCGGCCCTCGGGACCGTTAAAACACGACGCAGGATGAAACACCGGTCCAGGGGAATGGGTCGAGACCTCCAGGGGTCGACGCAACGAAACAATCATGACGTCGGGGGTCTGGGGTGCTGGGCCCCGGGGCTGCTCTCTGGGCCCGGCCGCGGAAGCGGGCTCCGAAGAACACGCGGGTGCTGGGCCCCTGGACTTCTCTCTGGGTCGGCCCCGCGGACGCCCTCGAAAACCGGGAGGGGCGAAAGGGGGGATAGCAAAGGGTAGGGTAGATAATCAGCTCAAGTAGCTGATTTTCCCAGCGCCTCCCGGCGCCGGGAGGCGCCCATGTATCGAGGAATGGGCCCGGCGGCGGGGCCGAAACCAGCTGCATGCAGCAGATTTCGTAAACCCTCCCTTTCCCTATCCCCCCTTCATTCGTCCGGCCCGAGAAACCCGGAAGAGAAACTGAGAACAACGTCGGGGCCCTTTCCCTGAGGGCTCCCCTGGACATCCGTCGTAGCAAAGACACCACAACGCCAGAAATCTCGACCTGAGCCCTGGAACCATACTTGTTCCATGGGACGCACATGGACATACTAATACTAGATGTCCTCCTTGGAGGCGCGCATCCGACCCGAACATATAGTATACCCATCTTGTAGTATATCGTTTCCCGAGCGGTGTGGCCAGAAAGCGCCCGCCGCGACGCATATACTATAAGATTTCTCGGTGCGCGCGTCGCCCCTGGGGGGGCGACGCACATATAGTATGAGTATGTTGGGGTGTTGCCGATTCCACTCGGCCTACGTCGCATTGTCTCCGCACCGGGGTTCTCCGGAGCTCTGGGGAAAGCTTCCCCTCAGGGCCGGCTCTCCATCCCGAGTCGTCCTTGGACGGCTCCGCGCGGCCCAGCGAAGGCCCCTGGAGGCAGAACCAATACCAGAAACCTCTCGGAGGAGGAGGAGGAGGCGGAGGCGGAGGCGGAGGCGGAGGCGGAGGAGGAGGAGGAGGAGGAGGCGGAGGAGGAGGAGGAGGAGGAGGAGGAGGAGGAGGAGGAAGCTTTTCGTCCCGGATCCACTTTTGGAGGAC